TCTTCGCCCGCCAGGCATGAACCTGCATTGGCAGCGCACCTTTGTTAAGGGAACCCAGGAAAAGGTTGCTGACGCCGGAGCAATCTACGCGCCGCCGACCTTGTCAGCCATTGATGGAAAAGAGCAAGTTGAACTTCAGGATTTGATTTCTAGCTGGAATGGATACATGGGCATGAATACTTCTTTCACACGCAGCTCAAAAATTCAGTGCCTCCACCTTGACAGACTTACTACTGACTCAGGTGCGCCATTGCAGATCCCCTGGAAACTCAAGATCCCAGAGCCATCAAGGCCCCGCAAGAGAGCGAGCAGATTTACATGGAATACCGCATTGTGGGAGGCATTATCCATAGAGGGAGGGACAACGAGGGACGCATTCAGGCTGTCTGCCGGAATATGGATGGCTTGTCTTCGATGACGTGAAGAAAGCCACGCAGCATGGAAGCCGAGTTTCAGCGCTGGTGGGAGCGCTTTGCATTTTTTTGGGGAGGACATGAGGCTGGGGCAGGTCTATGAGGAGACCGTCGTGGCTGTGGTTCGAGAGGCAGGACTTGCGGCTAGATTTGCGCCCCAGCGCAGCCCCTTCACATGGCTTGCGGCGCAGGTGGAGGAGATGTGCGATTGCAGTTCCGGCAGATGGATGAAACGCAGACCGGAGCTTTCGAGTCAATTGCAACAGCTGCTACACCGTATCCCGCGCCGACGTGTTCTTTGCCTTGGAGGTGATTTCAACACGGCCTTGCAGAGTGGTCGTGACGCAAGGGCCTCAGATGTGATTCACCCCCGCACTCTGATCAAAGACAGGGCCCATGACTCTGCCCCTAGATGTGGGCCCCAGAGGATCGTCCACCATCGACTACCTGTTCACGAGGAAGGCTCAATGTGACGGGATCGCCAGACAGGCGAAATGCCACATCAACTTCACCCTGTTCCAGGCACGTAAATTTCCGGGTCATCGACCTCTGTTGGCAGTGTGCCTGTGGATTGGAAGGTGCGCAGTCACAATCTACATCTCCAATTCCAAACATACCAAAGCCTTGGTGAAGGCTGCTGAAGGCTACCATCCCAATTGGGTGACCTTTGTGCAGGAGGCGTCACGGATGATACAGTCAACAAGGCCCAACTGACAAGATTGCAAGATCCTTCATTTATGCCAGAAAGCTGTACATCGTGTTGTACCTTCCATGCCACTCTGGCTCCAACCAGAATGTCAATCTCTTGTGGCAAGGAAATGAAACACCTTTTTTGGGCACGACGATGCAATGCAGACCTTCGAGGCCTTTTCAGTCTTTGGGCACACTGGACCAAGTTCCATCGTTTTCGCGAGCTTCTTCAGCAACGTTGTCAAACCAAACGAAGAAACAGATTTCGGAGGATCACAACGAATGGGGCCAGAGCTGCTGACAATCACGACTCCAAGGCCTTGTATGAAGCAGTTCGTGAACTGACACCCAAACAGCTCAGAAGATCCATTCGTTTTAGGGGACCGAATGGACAAGTGTTGAGTCCAGAGCAAGAGCTGAACGTGCTGTGTCAACACTTTCAGGAGATTTTGGACTGCACTTGTCCGGTACAGTGTGCGCCTGGATTCCTACAGTCAAATCAAAACTGAAGAAACATACAACAGTCCAGGATGGATGCAAGTGGCTGATTGTTCCTCGTGTCCAAGGTCACACGCTGGTCAATATTGTTCCACATCATACTTATCTTCGAGCCAAACTGTCCTTCGCCCACTTTGAGCAGCAAACACTCCAACATCTGTTGCGCATTGGTCGTATCACCTTTCATCGTATGAGACCTTGGTTCAATGGGAAGCATGTTCTGGCCAGCAAAGATCGAGCAAACCTTTGGTCCACGTGTGTCCTCTCTAGCTACACTCATGGCCCTGGAAGCAGTGGCCTTCGACAGGAGGGACTGTTGTCGTTGTCGTTGTCGTTGTTGTCGTTGTTGTCGTTGTTGTTGTTGTTGTTGTGCAGCCGAATACATGCAGATATTCTCAAGAGCTGGGCGTTCTCCGCAACACATTACACATGAACACACTGAAGATGTCCTGGCGACTCCACCTCACTGCGCCTCGCACCTTGTCCAAAGCCTTTGCCAAGTCCAAGCTGCCACAACAGGCCTATCAGACGGTGACTTTTTGCGCAGGATTCCTAGTGAGCTCTTTCTGAGTGTCTTTCAGGAACCTGCCTTGCCAGCTCCTGCACAGGTTGATGCTGTGGTGCCCCTGGAACATACTTGTCCATATTGCGCGCAGATGTTTGACAATCTTGGTCTTCTACACAGACACCTTGCCAAACGTCATAAGGCAATTACTCTGTTTCGCGGCTTCCTGATTTCCAGAGACTCCATTGATGGCAAACCCCAATGCAGACACTGTCAACGCAAGTTTGCTCACTGGGTAGGGCTTGTCCATCATGTTGAACATGACAGCTCGTCAGGTACCTCCCTGTGACCAGGACGACGTTGGACAGTACGTCCGCGCACTTTGAACGCCCAGGCCTGATGACTTGGTGTCGAAGTCACTGCATCATCTTGGCCTGTGGAATGACTCAAGCTGCCGCGCACAGTTGCCATGCCATTCGACAGCTGGCCATTGTGCCCCTCATGTGTGAGCAAAACCTTTGGTCTCAAGAGCTCCGTCACTAGCTTGGAACCTCCCAAGCCTGATCCAACACACCCTCTTCCTTCCACCTTGAAGAGGCGCAAGCTTGGAGCGCAGGAAACCAAGTCCAACGACTTCCAACCTGCCAGAGACTCAGTATAGATGGGACTCCGACATGCAGTCACTGCGTGAAGACATTGGCCTCCTTCTTCCCCCTCCGGAATCGCATCGAGATGTACCATGTTTACGGCCCAGGCAAATGTCGACAGAGCATGACATTGAGTGCGTTCTCCGTGACACAGCCTACGCCCTCAAATCCAGCTGTGTCCTTTGTGGCAGGCAATCGAGAAAGCCTGGAGGGATAGCCCTGCACAAGATCACGCAGCGCTGTGTGAACAGGCGCAGTCCCTGGAAACCAGGTATCGCAACACTGCTGCTTGTGGCAAACCATGTTTGTGTGGCAATCACTCAACGAAGAATGGACGCAGATGTGTGATCTTCACACAATTGGCGCTTCTGCATCTTGTGGCCACAAAGAATGAATCAGAGGAAGACTTGAGCACCGTGCAGGCGGCTGTGCCATCCCTGGATCCGGCCTTCTATTGGAATGACAAATCTTAATGCAGCCTCAGCCTCTGTCACAGCACTTGTAAGCCAGTGGATATAGTTGCTCATTTGCATGAACACCATCGTAACACAACGCTCAGAGCACCGAATGCAGACCATGCTGATCATCGCCTTTTTCGTGATTGGATTCAGGCGCACGCGTTGATTTCCCAACGAAATCGAGATTCCACCCCAAGCTACTCAAACAGCAACATTGACTTTCTGTTCACGCGTAAGGCGCAAACGGGTTCATTGTCGTTTGGAGTAAGATGTTTAGCTTGCGCGCAGGGATTACCCTGACCATCGACCGCTCATTGGAAGCTTTCCCATGGACTGGAAGGTTTTGGGCCCATCGCGCAAGACAAGCGCCGCAACAGGTTCCAAACATGTCTCCAAGCATTTGCTGCAGGCCAAACAGGCCAACTGACTTGCCTGTCATGGTTACCAAAATGGGATTCCTATGTCAACGAAGGTTCCAGGCGCCCCCCGCGCGCAGAGTACCGCTTTGGATTGAAGATGATGCAAGGCTCAACGGTGGGTTTGTTGCAACAGATTTGACATAGATGGCGCCATGTCGGCCAACGCACCGAGCTCATGTCTACGAAGGAAAGAGGTGAGGATTCAAGCTGTCACGAATCAGGACATTCACTCCAAAACAGCCACGCAGGGCAATTAGCTTCAGGGATTGTGAAGGGAACACTTCTCAGTTCCATCGCGAACTGCAGCTTTTGGTGGACCACTTCTCTGACATTTTTCATTGTGAGCAGGCCAAGTTTGCTGTTGATCCACCATGGATCCTCACTGCGGACGAGTTGGAAAAAGCCAATTACAACAAACCAAAGAATGCAAAGCGGTGGCGGCGTGACTGGCCAAGTCCTCCAAACCACGTGAGGACAAGCCACACTAGCGCCGCCGGGCGATCTTCGACCCGTGCCATGAACGGACGCCGTCGGCGAAGCAGTGTTGGGAGGGTACATCCACCGGGCAAAGGCCTTGGGTTTCCATTTGGTTGCCAATCTTCCCAACAGAGGCCGTGCCCTTCAACAGGCGCCCACTCGTTGGAGACCACACACAACACCAGTCTCCAACTCGGGAGGCTTTTTCTTCTCCTTGGATTTGAAACAAGCGCGCAACAGACTGTACACAAGCATTGGCTTGCGGATGCCAGGTATGAGCTTTCCCGTGAAGAAATTCGCGGAGAAGTTCAGCTCTTTGAATATCTATCTACCTCTCTATCTATCTATAGCTAGCTAGCTGGACTATGGACTATCTATCTGTCTGTCTGTCTGTCTGTTTATCTATCTGTCTATCTATCTAACCTAACCTAGCCTAGCCTAATCTAATCTAATCTAATCTAACCTACTAACCTAATCCATCTAATCGATCTAATCTATCTAATCTATGTAATCTATCTAGCTACCTATCTATCTATCTATCTATCTAATCTAATCTAATCTAATCTAATCTACCTACCTAATCCATCTATCAAATCTATTTATCACATCTATCTATCAAATCTGTCTATCATATCTATCATACCGTACCTATCAATCAATCAATCTATCTATCTAGCTAGCTAGTTATCTCTATCTATCTACCTACCTATCTTTCTATCTATCTATCTATCTATCTACCGACCTATCTAACTATCTATCTATCTAGCTATCTGTCTATCTCTCTATCTACCTCTCTATCTTTCTAACTATATGTCTATCTATCTATCTTTCTGACTATCTATCTATCTATCTATCTACTTGTAAGACAATGCACCTGAGTGTTCAGAGTTCAGGTCATGTTCCGCAAGCAGGAGGTCAGGAAGCCTCTGCCAGATCGACACAGGCGTCGGCTGAACAAAGGGCGGGCGCAGGAAACCAGCTCTCCAGCTTGGCTCGAATCCATTGGCTGCACGGGGGTGATCTCGAGGAAACCTTTGTTCTGAGCGATCCATTGACCATAACCTCGGGCAATTGTTTAGGGGTTTACTTCTTGTTTGTTTTCAATGTTTCCTTTATTGCATTTACGGTACTTCCTTTGTCTCCTGTCTGTGCAAGTCCCGCCAGAAGTTCAGAGTGTGCTTGGTTTCATTGGCCAAGATGCAGAAAATCAACAATTCCATTACAAAAGTCGTATAACTCTACTTTTTCGCTGCTCTAAGGAGCTCTCGCACGATGCAGAATTACGATTATCATGCGAACAATCTTGCTTTCCAATATACCAGGTTGTGTGATGGCAATCTTCAGGCTGAAGGTGTGCTTTGGTTCCAACATTCAACACTTCATTTGGCTAATGCAAAACACACCGATAATGATGAATGGCTTGAACACGACCAGCGTTGGTAGGTCTTGAAATCTTCGCTAAATCCTGCTTTAACCAAACATGTCAATCAGACAAACCAGCAGATTGTCTATTGAACTGGATGGATCCATTCCAAACATCCTTCGTTGCTCAGGCAGTATACATTCTCTTTGCCCTTCTTCAACCACCGCCTCCGCCGCTTTGCCAGAGTTGCACCGGTAGTGTTTTTGAACGAAGGCGCTCTTTTCACCTACTGTTAATATATGGTATCATCCACTTCACCACAAACCCAGGCAATTGGGTCTGCGGCTACAAGCTGTCGGCCCAGGATTCACAATTGCATTGACGGTGCAGGTGTTTAGATTTCCTCACATGGTATTTGCAGGATTTGGACGAGCTGCCATGCTCCACAATGAATGCTGTGCACCTTGTGATGTACTTTCCTGCCACTGAGGGCCTGCTTGATTGACAATGAGCCCGACTGGGCTGACAAGCATCCTTTGGGATACAGGCCCAACCGCAAGCAGAACCACAGGCCGAGAGCTGAGTTCAGATGGCAGAGCTTTTCAATCCTACTAGCCTCCAACCTACTAGCAATGGCCTCCGACCTACTAGCGATGGCCTCCAACCTACTAGGGATGGCCTCAAACCTAATAGCAAAGTTCAATTGCCGGAACATAAAGGTGTTTTCAAGGACGTGGATGGCAATCATCACTATTCTGCGGTTGCTTTAGAAGCTACCCAGTAAAGAGGAATCTGCATCCACTATGTCTTCCGGGTTCCACGTACTTTTTGCACAACCCCTTACACACACACACACACACACACGCACGATTATGTTTAATTTGATATATCTATTTTCTTTAGCAAGGTGCCGCCGCTTTGGACCTATACATCCAACTCCAGCCTTGACTGTCAGAATCACTGTCAAAGACTAGAAGAGGTTGCGGCGCTTCAACAACCTCAAGATTCTCCGTTGATGACAAGTGATTCGATATAATTGTGACAAACCACAAGTCAAAAGGAAGGCAGCTACCTAAACGAGATCCATTGTACTTCTTCGCTGCCCTTGCGGTCCGTCAGTTGACCCAAGGCGCCCATACATGTGGATCTTCAGCATTCCCCGCTACACCGTCCAGGTCCTGTGGAGGGTTGAGGCGGTTGAGGCACATTACAACAACCTTTTCACTGGATAGATTCAGATGTTATGCAGCAAGACATCAAAAGCGTATCCGGCATGACACAGTGTTGAAAGCATGTACTCGTTTGTTGTCACCATAGAGTATCCAACTTTCGGGTGAGTTGATTGGGGTTTTGTTGATTTCAATAATTATATGTATATAACAATATGTATATATATATATATGATAGGATCCAGCAGGTGACGGCCTTTTTGGTTCAATGGAATACCAGGTGAAGCCAGAGTAGTCCCTGAGTTGATAGCAGACCCTTGGTCCTGTGCTTGGGTTCTAGAAAAGGCAAACGCAAAGATGGCACAGACAGGCAGAAATATAGATATTCTGCAGGCCGTGGTACGGCTCATGCTGTGTGATTGCTAGAGGAAAGCGTTTGTAACAAGAGCAACAGCATATTTTGGTCAGTATTATCCCCAAGGTCAGGATTTCCTGCCAAAAGCCCAGCCGCTGGCAAACTCTAGATTGTTTTCTTTAGTTGTGTCTCGTTTGAACCTTGACTCAGCATCTCGCACACCAAGTTCCAGGATCCTCTCTACACATCTGTGACCCACGACAACATGAACTCCATCTATGAGGTTGGGTGAGAAGCAAATTGGAAGGAGATTTGACAAAAGAATACTCAACTACCCTAACTAACTACCCAATATCAAAGACACGTAGTGGACATGGACTACATTATTTAGGGGATATGCACCATAGACCCACTCGTTCCTAAAGGTCAGGTGTGGGGTTTCTTCCAGAACCGATAGAAGATTATCCACACAAAGAGCTTCAAAGGGCAATCTATTCATTTGAGAATGCGTGTATCTTTGCCACTTTCATCAACATCACCACCCACCCTGCACTTGCTTGGTGCTGTGACAAACCAATTTCCGATTACATGCAGGTAGTATATCCCAGTGTTTGAGTCCCATCCATCAGTCACCAGACTTCTATTCTTGTTCTTGTGTTCTGCATTTCTACAAGCAACATTTTGTCAGTGGCTTGAAGTGGCGACAGAAAGCAGTTTTTACAGACTCAATTGAACTCCTCTCAAATCAGCTTCAATTGTCATCCGCCACTGGGGCCAAACGGGGCTGGCTACTCTGCAATTGCATGCTGCCCTTGAACATGGATTGTGTTGGAATGATTGAAGCAGACCAATCACTGGCTTGTGTCGCTCAAGCAATCCTCTGGATGGCCTGTAACCTAATAGCGATGGCTCCAAACCGAATAGCGATGGTCCAACCAACAAGCGATGGCCTCCAACCTACTAGCGATGGCCTCCAACCTACTAATTAGCGATGGCCTCCAATCTACCGTAATAGTGATGGCCTCCAATCTCACAGCGATGGCCTCCAACCTATTAGCTTCTTTCCTTTTTGTTATGAACAACAATCTTCAAGAGTCAATCCTTTAGCAGGTTTGATTTCTGGACCTCTGCCAGGACTGTGGCTATATGAAGGCGCCCAATTATGAGGACTAAGAGGCCAGGAAAAGATCTTCCAAAAATTGAGGACCATGCAGGTTTGAGTTCAATCCTGTGTGAGTACTGCTACTCTAGACTCTAGATCTGTAGTTCTCAGGTGGGAGGTGGCAAAAGCTTTGCTGATAGAACATCCATACTTCCTTGAGCTCGAACATGAAATGCAGCCCTACATGCCACGAAGAGGTTTGATGTAGAAATGAGGGGTTGCAAGTTGCATGGAGCTCCCAGTCACACCTCGATGAGGCTTTCTCCAAAGCATCTCCAAACATCTCCCGTGTTTCTGCCAGACAGCTGCGGAGGCTGAGAGCCGACCGAGAAGGTGACGGGGGGTCCTCCGAGTTGGAACGTGTGAACGACAAGCAGAAGTTCCTTGAAATTCTGCATTTGTGATGGTTTGCAGTGGGCCTCCGGAGGACCCCATGATGTCTTTGTCTTGTTTTTGACTCATTGCGCTTCCATACAAACCAACGGGCCAAAAAGGTGCGAGTTCTTTGCAACAGTCCAATAGCATAAGATTTGCAGATTGTTAGCCCTTCTAAAGGGTCATTCTCAAAAGAGTTGTTCGGGGAGTAGCTACATGCCTTTTTGGAAAGTTCTTCTTGTATCGCTGCCCTTCGAAACCTGTGACTACCGAATGCCAAAAGACACTCGCTTACCGAGCTGTAGTTCTGGGAACTACAATGTTGAACCAATTTCTGGACTGACGCTGAAAAACCTTGTGCTGGAGGCCCTCGCTAGTAGGTTGGAGGCCATCGCTTTTAGGTTGGAGTCCATTGCTATTAGGTTGGGGCATTGCTATTCGCAATGCTATTAGGTTGAAGGCCATCGATAGTAGGTTTTCAGGCCATTTAGTAGCTTGTCCCGTGGACTGGATGTGTCCAAGGCCCGTGAACGAAGGGACGAGGTTGGAGCGGGGCAGACAGAACATGGTCGGACGAGGGCAAGTGTATCAAGTAGTATGGTTATGCTTTAAGGGAAAACCTGACCATTCAATGGCAAACGGAAACCAGGAGTGCCGAAGTTGTTTGGAGGTTTTTTTTTTGTACTTTCGAATGCCGGTTGCTCCTTGAGGGATTGACAATGCATGAGGCCCGCCGTGCATGATTTGCGAGGGAGTCATACTTGCAAGGCGGCATGTTAGCTTGCCAACTTTTCACGGGCTGAGCATCAGACAGGCCGGACAGGCGGTACCCAAGGCGCCTGAGGCGCCACCAGACAGGACTGCTCCACGTGGATGGATCTGGGAGGCAAGAATCCCCAGAATGCAGAATGCTAGCTACTGGAAACAAGAAGCTACTGGTAACAAGGGCATTACTACGAGTAACAAGAAGCTACCAATTAGCAGCAAAGGGCATCGCTACTAGGAGCAAGGACGCTGCTAGGGGCTCCTGGCCTTACTACTAAGAAGCTCCTAGTAGCAAAGGGACTAGGAACAAGAAGCTACTAGTAGCAAGGTGCATCGCTACTAGGAGCAAGGACGCTACTAGGGGCTCCTGGCCCTACTACCAGGAACAAGAAGCTACTAGTAGCAAGGGGCTCCTGGCCCTACTACTAGGAACAAGAAGCTACTAGTAGCAAGGTGCATCGCTACTAGGAGCAAGGACGCTACTAGGGGCTCCTGGCCCTACTACTAGGAACAAGAAGCTACCAGTAGCAAGGTGCATCGCTACTAGAAGCAAGGACGCTACTAGGGGCTCCTGGCCCTACTACTAGGAACAAGAAGCTACTGGTAGCAAGGTGAATCGCTACTAGGAGCAAGGACGCTACTAGGGGCTCCTGGCCCTACTACTAGGAACAAGAAGCTACTAATAGCAAGGTGCATCGCTACTAGGAGCAAGGACGCTACTGGGGGCTCCTGACCCTACTAATAGGAACAAGAAGCTACTAGTAGCAAGGTGCAGGACGCTACTAGGGGCTCCTGGCCCTACTACTAGGAACAAGAAGCTACTAGTAGCAAGGTGCATCGCTACTAGGAGCAAGGACGCTACTAGGGGCTCCTGGCCCTACTACTAGGAACAAGAAGCTACTAGTAGCAAGGTGCATCGCTACTAGGAGCAAGGACGCTACTAGGGGCTCCTGGCCCTACTACTAGGAACAAGAAGCTAGTAGCAAGGTGCATCGCTACTAGGAGCAAGGACGCTACTAAACAAGAAGCTACTAGTAGCAAGGTGCATCGCTCGCACACTGGGAGCTTGATCTATCTCTACAAATTCATGGGCCCCGTGGCTCTGTGAAGCAAAGAACCCTTACTCCACCATGGTAAAGTGCTTGAGAGTAAGTGTGCAAGCATAGCCTGTTTGTATAGTGGAGTTCAGAATGCTGTCTTGGTCGATTCAATTCAAACCGTGTTTTCTTTTTTTCGGCCCACAGGAGCTCGAAACCTCGACGCCCACAGAAAGAAGCGCCGCCGGAGACGGAGGCCAGGTGACAATCCATGGAGCTTGTGGACGACATTCTGGTCAATGTTCCCTAGTAGCGTCCTTGCTCCTAGTAGTTTCAAAAGCATTTACGGTAAATATAACTCCATGTAACATAATTGTACAATGTGATACTGTATACGTACAAGAGCTTGGCCTTCGCACTTTTGACAGGAAGCGTCAGCAGGCTTCCATGTTGCTATTCCAGACTGGTAGGCTACCTAGCGGAAAAGAAGTGACGCTTGCGCCAGGTGCCCTCCCCACCGGCACCAGCAGCTAATGGGCACAAGGTGTGATTGGAAGGGTGTGATGCAAGGATGGCGTGGAATATATGCAATGTTTTCCGTGCAAATCCCCAGAACGAATGCACGAAGTAGTTTTTCCGTTTCTGTTTATCAGGCTAACCCTTGTTCACCATGCATGGGATGTTTGTTCAGCAGAAAGACAGAAGTGGGATGGCCTTGACATGTTCGGCCTTGCCAAGTGGAGATCGAAACTTTCACAAGTGTAGTTCAACAGCAGCATGTCCGCGCTCATTTGATTCATATTTACTCAAATAGTTGGGTCACCTTTGCAGATCCATTTATCGAGGTTCAATGCAACCTGGTGGAATCGTGCGTTATATTGTTTTTCCCCAAACAGGTTTGCCTGTGAGGGGTTCTTACTCCTTTGAAAGGGGTGCGTGCCTGGGCTGCATGACTTTACATTTGTCTCCGGGCTTGCGTTCCTGCCGCACTGTGGTTGCTGTGGCCGCATGATTTTGCACTTGTCTCCCATTTGTCTCCATTCGCTTGTGGGTGCTTTGGGTGCTTTGGCCGCATGATTTTACACTTGTCTCCCATTTGTCTCCCACTTGTGCCACTGTCTCCAGTCTCCTCTGGGCGCTTTGGCCGCGTGATCTTTTTACACTCGTCTCGGACTTGACTCCCACTGTCTCCAGTTCGCTGTGTGTGCTTTGGCCGCATGATTTTACACTTGTCTCCCACTTGCCTCCCACTGTCTCCAATCTGTTTTGGGTGCTCTGGCCGCATGATTTACATTTTTCTCCCGCTTGTCTCCCAGGGTCTCCAGTCCCTGGCCGCATGATTTTACATTTGCCCAGTCCCTTTTGTTGGTGCGCTGGCCGCATGATTTACATGTGTCTCTCACTTGTCTCCCGCTGTCTCCAGTTGCTTGTGGGTGCTCTGGCCACCTACAGGAGACTGGAGAAAATGGGAGACAAGTGCAAAATCATGCGGCCAAAGCACCCACAGCGAACTGGAAACAGTTGGAGCAAAGCACCCACAAGCAAGCGGAGACAGTGGGGGACAAGTGTTACACTTGTCTCCCCTTGTTTCCCATTGTCTTCACTCTTGTGTGGGTGCTCTGGCCGCATGATTTTACACTTGTCCCGGTCCCCCACTGTCTCCACTTGCTTGTGGGTGCTTTGCTCCAACTGTTTCCAGTTCGCTGTGGGTGCTTTGGCCGCATGCTTGTGCACTTGTCCCCCATTGTCTCCAGTCTCCTGTAGGTGCTTTGGCCGCATGTCTCCAGTCCTTTGTGGGTGCGGTGGCCGAATTATTTTACACTTGTCTGGACTTGGACCTGGGCCAAACAAACTGTTTGGGGTCAAAGCTGGTATATTTGTTGTTTGTGTTTTCTTTCGTGGCTTGGCCTTTGGCTTTTGGTTTCTGTGTTTTTTGTGGGTTTTGGCTTTTGGATGGTTTCTGACTGGCTTTTGGGGGCTTTTGGCTTTTGTAGCGTCTGTGGCTCTGCCGACTTTGGACTTTTGGTGGCTTTCGACTTCGATATAAGAGTAATCAAGACTGTCTGAAAGATACGTCCTCCAGAGCGATAAATCCTTGAAAGCTTTTGTGGCTTTTGGCTTCCGTGGCCATGTCCAATGAACCATTCGCGATCTAGCTCACATGGCCTTGCGCAAAGGTGTACTTTTGAATAAGATCACAAAGTGCCGTGCCTTCCACAAAATCAGTCTTTCCAGTTTACAAAACCCTTCGCCTGCCATGATTATTCTTTAGAAATTCGCAAAGTGCTGCGCTTGCCACAGGAGAAAGACAATTAACAAACAACTCAATGCTTATATATATATACACACACATATATATATATATATATAAATACATTTTGGCATGTTTCACCAGGTGTTACAGAAATACGAAAGCCAGCCGATAGGCTAGGCTTGAGCTTTTAGAGCGAACGAAGTGAGCTAAGCGGTGTGGTCAGAAAAGCAGTGAAAAAGGGGTCTGGTGATGCGAGTGATGCAATGGACGCCGAGTAGTGCACCATTAGCATCATGAAGGGCTGTGGAGGCTATTTGGACAATGGGCATTGAGCACTGGAGTGGAGACAGGCACCCATGTACAGAGCAACCCCCGTAGTCTCTACGATGCTTCTCGCGGCGTCCACGTGCACCGAACGTTTTTCCGGCTTGGCGGCGCAGATAGATAGATATTAGATAGATTGATAGATAGATAGATAGACAGACAGATAGATAGATATATTCTATATACTACTGACTCATGACGTCGCCTTTTTTGCTGGCAGCCCTGGCCGAATCTAGTCAGCCTGGGTCCACGGCCCAAAGATCTACGCACGCAGGTGCCAAAGTCAAGGCCTCTGAGTGAGAAAGGCGCAGAGTTCATAATAAGAAAGAGAAGAATAAAGAATGTGTTTGGATCGTTTAATACAGGCCCCTTTAAAGGAAACAGATTGTGTTTTAGATCGAGCCAGAATATGACTCACTCAAAACCAGGCGTGTGCATCGATAGGCGCACAAATCCTCACTCCTTTGCTAGCCCAAGCTACTCCCGCTGGACTTCCCCTTCTGCGCCGCGGGATCAAACGTCCGTGTCCCGGCTAAGACGTGCCCGTTCACTCGAACGCCGCTTTTCGACGCGCCGCGGTATGCCTTGCAAACTTCAAACACTCCAAATGTAACAAACACATAATTGCTTCTTTTGAAACGCACGCCGTACTGGCGACGCTCACTATGGAGAAGGTATTCCTGCGCGCGCGCGCACTTGGTATCCCACCACTCGAACTCAGACGGTATTTCCCTTTCGCTAACGCTGATGTCGCCTTCCAACTTCCAATTCCTGCGTGTGACAAACACATGCCATTGCCTTGTGATGATGATCTACACCAACATACAACGTATCACATTTCTCTTTCACTACTTCTTTCATACCAAACTTATCCCAAAGCCGCCCGGCTTGCTTCTCTGCTCCCTCCATCACCATTACATACGCCCCTCCGCATCCGCGGCGCCGCTGACTCGCAAGCTGCCGACCATGTGTCTTGTGCCGCGACGCCCGCCAGAAAAAGAGACACTCGTTTAGCGGCTGCTGGCTTTCGTCCCCCCCTTCTCAGGTATGAAACATGTACACATAGGACCAGCACAACCTCATAACGGTAGATGCTAAGGGCCACCAGGCTTTGGATGTCTGACAAAAGACTGGGATGCCCAGGTCAGCGAGGTTCGCGAGGCGTTGTCATGGTAAAATTTAGCGAGGAAAGCGGGCCACTCCAACATAGTACACCTTCTGTGAGCCACCCGAGATTAAAGTCTATATGTCAAACCGTCCCATACCTTTTGTAAGCCATTTGAGGGGAGAGAGTCCTGTGCCAGCCACCGGAAAGAATCAATTAAACAAACAACACTTTGAATAAGACACAATACCATCACAACCCCACAACGGTGGATGCTAAGGGCTACCAGGCTTTTGCCATTTCACATGAGACATGGATGTTAAGATCAGCGCTTTGAGATTCCCAAAAGTGCACTCCCAGGTTCACAGAATGCAGCGCCTGCCTCGAAATCTGCATTTCCAGCCATCCCAGCACCCAAGACAAAAACATATATACCTAACAAAAAAACAAAATCAAAACAAATCCGGGCCCAACAGCATTGCCAATTGCCTTCTCTTTCAGGTGCGTGCTTCCCGCCCAGCTGTTGGGAGGCCAAGCAAGGTGCTGTACCGGCCAACCCAGACATAGGAGTTCCCATTTGGCACTGTCTATCAGAACATGCACAATTCGAGCGTAGTTGTAATTTTCCGATCTGAAGTGCATCCTGCCATACAGTCGCACTTAGTTCACTGTAAGGTAGAAGCGCCTCGTGTGGAAGAGGAGACCAAGCTGGTCGTAAGTCAAGGGAAGCTCCAACCAATCTCACGACAAAGTTCAGGTGGACGTGTTCTTAAGTCTTGAGTATTTCGAAAAACCCTGGTTTCAAGGCTTCAGCATCACTCAAACTTTTCAAGCGACAAACATGGCAAGCTCAGGAAGACGATGCCGAATTTGACCTTGGAATCACAAACGGCCCGTCCTTGTCATAGGGACCAAGTCGGGCCTGGGGGAAGCAGACTTTAGTATGATGATGCCACAGGAGCAGATCGAGGTGCAAGTGTCAATTCCAGCTCCACCTCATCACTTTGAGGCCTGGACCTTGTTAGGCATATACAAGCAGTTGCTCAGCAGTTGCCACGAGCAAAGCCATACTTGGTTCGTCCGAAGATCCTTTTCCACTAGCTGTCACCAGCTGCCTTGGACACGAGAGCATCCATCGCAGTCCTATGGCACTGGACGTATGTTCCTGACCAACTTGCCTCACGAGGCCTCACGAGGCTCAAGTTGCTGATGCAATAGGCACAGCTAGGCACAGTCACATCCAACTGCGCTGGCCCACGGTGCAGCTTTTCACTGAAGGACAGGTGGCAGAAGGGGATGCACAAGGCGGAGTCCATCACACCAGATTGGGTCCTGAAGTCCGAAGGTCTTCTGACAATTCTAATTAAATTCTTATTGTTACTAGTAGTAAGGCACTTGTTCCTAGTAGCAAACATTGTTACTACTAGTAAGGCACTTGTTACTAGTAGCGATGCACTTGTTCCTGGTAGCTTCTTGTTACTGTGGAACTATGGGCATACAAAACCATAAACACGTATAAACAACACAACCTTTTGATCCTGCCCGTTCTTCAGGATGTCGTTCCGGGAACTGCGGAACTTCTGTGAGATGATGCGGTCGTTGGGATACCATCGGTTGGTGTCAATGGCATCTTGCACCGCATTCTGAAAACCTTTTCCTGGTTGAACCTTAAATTACCAGATTGAAGCAACGTGGGCAAAAGCCTATCAATCAGGCCTTCCAAGAGTCATCAAGTTTGACATTTTCGAGGCCTCCAACCTAATAGCCATGGCCTCCAACCTAATAGCGATGGCTACAGTTTTTGCTGACCTTGCTTTCCTGCTTCGGACCTGGGACTTAACGCTTTCCTGAGGACAACTTCCGCCTCTCGGTCTCGTATAAGCTGAGCAATTTCTGCTGGAAATTGACCGTTGAACGGGCTTCCAAAGTCTTCACCGGGGCTCTTCACAAATGATGTTGTTTCGAATGATACTGCGGCAGAGGTGTCATTCCTTTCATTTCGCTCTGATTTCAATCGAAACGAACGAAATGGTGGCAAAAGCTGCTCAAGAATATTGAAGGAAACAAGTAGAAGACAAGCAGATCAGGAATGGCTAAGCTGCGAACAGAGCTTGAGTACGGCCAAACGTGCTTCGAAAGCTCACCGAGTCCAACCGGCCGTATCAGAAGAAGTGAGAAGTGTTTGGGATTTTTGTGCCTTATTTTCATTTCATTCCAGTTCCTTTTTGGGATGACACTGTACTTTTTCATTGCTCTGAATGTGGACTGATGATGGTGCCAAGCATTAATCGATCAGGCTGCTTGTCAATGTTTAAGTCAATGTCGATGGGCGAGACCCCAGGAACGCCCAACTTTGAACTTGTGGCCGACATCTTAGACTGGCTCTTGCATCGCTTCGAGCCTGGGATTCACATCCCTGATGACATCAGTCGGGACCTCGAAACAATCAACGGATCTTGTGCTTGCTGACATTTGGATGCTTTTTGGCATGTGTTCCTGCCTATATGTAGCAAAGCTAGGAAGCCACCAGATGCTTTCAAACATTTTGCTGTCCGGCTGTTTCAAGCTGTTTCACTATGTGTGTTCAGGTACCGAAACCCACCGGGTGCACTTCATCAAGTCTGTGGTGGAGCCCCTTGGACAGATGTTTGGATATGGTCGAGACCACAGTGGCTCTTGATTGTTACTAAGAAGCTTCAAAGACCTAAACAGCTTCTTGTTACTAGTAGCGATGGCCTCAAACCTAGTAGTAGCTTCTTGTTACTAAGAAGCTTCAAAGACCTAAAAAGCTTCAGTGAAACGATTTGCAAGGAAGCTTCTAGTTGCCTACAGTATGTATCCTTTCATCATTTTGAACCTTTCATCATTCCAAGGAAATTATGATGTTCTGTCTTTTTTCATTCACAGATTCCAAGGAAAGTTGTACTTAAGACGGGCTTGAAGCTCAATCCCAAGAAGCTCTACGGGGCAGATGGCTACGCCGTAAAGGCCTGGAAGATCATGCAAACTAGAGCAATAGTCTTTGGAAGCCAAAAATGAGAGATAGATCTCTAGGATTTCTTTTTTCTGAAGTGTGAGAACGACATGCAGGTTCTCCACACACACAATGCGATCAATATGTTACGTTTCCTTAAACATCTAGGAACATATCATTAGTGCGGCTGCTTCTTCAAGGAAACTCCCCCCACCCTCAGGGGGAGCTTCCTTGAAGAAGCGTAAGCTATCCTGCGTCCTACCTAGAAGCTTAGTTGTCCCTTACTTACTGTAAGTAAGTAGGGGCCTACTTAATTAAGTAGGGAGGGGGGGAGCGGGCTAAAAAAGAAGGGTACTTTGCGCCCGCTGAAGCGATGTCAGGAACTCTTGCGCTTGGCCTCCGTGCTCTACGAGGCCCAGAAAAGTGTAGGGGACGTGGCACCCGGTGAGCCAAGGGGCGAAGACTTCGCTCTTAACTCCAAGCGGCTTGGCGAACGATGGCTCAATGAAAAGACATGCAATCACTAACAAGACATACAAGACGGCTTGTGCCAGAGCGAGCAAGTTTTCGATTTTGTTTCTTGCTTATGCAGTTGCAAAGAGATGCATATGCACACAGCGCCTGCTTTTTTGGGTGGGAGAAATTCTTTTTGTGTTGACTTTGCTGTGGAGCCATTGGAGTCCTTTGCCAGTTGAGGTTGGCTGATCTCAAGAGCACTCGGTCCTTGTGTTCCCAGATTGTCGAAAGCGGAGCCATGCTATTCGAGCTCTTACAAAAGGAGACCGCACTAAAGCATTGTTTGGGGTTTGTCGAAGAAGTCTTTTGATGTTCTAGTCTCGTCACTTGTCCTTGTTTGTTGCTCTACCTTGTGCGGGACCGGTATTCTGGAACACCATAATTGTGAAGACCCTTTATCATTCGTGTACTTCAACGATTAGATGCCAAATTTCGCACATCCATAAATGGGATCGACGCTTGCTGTTTCGCATCGCCGGACTGATCAGCGTCAGGCATGTGAACATTAGCATACCGTGCCTCTCTTGGAACCTTACTACAAAACAAATTGTCGTTTTGATACGTATTGGGATCTTACCGCAGCATACCCATCCCCACCATTCAGACTCTTTCATTCAACACCAACTTGCACAGGAGCAGGAGGTGCGGCAAGATAGAGAGAAGGCCTTGACCTTCCTCGATGGCATGTCTCGGAATCTAGGCGGGGTTCGTGTGAGGACAGGAGAACCTAATAGCAATGGCCTCCAACCTAAGGGCGATGGCCTCGAACCTACTAGCGATGGCCTCCTCTGGGGCACAAAGCCCAAGTGTTGGCCCGTCCAAACTGTACCAAATTCAGAAGAACCTTCAGAGAAGCTGTTTTCAGCAGGTAGCGAGCGGGAGAGTGAAATGGTCGAAACTGCTGCAACTTGGCAGATTATGCAATCAAGCAGTGTTAAGGAACTCGAAAGAAAAAGCGAAACGGGCACGATGTTCATCTCTGCCACTCATTTTCATATATGTTCCATTCCCGAGGTGAAGCAGTTGTTGGGGAACCATGGCCAAAACTTGGAGCAATTGAAGCAGATGTCTGACGAGCTGCAACGGGACGAGAAGAGCATGGCCCTGAGTTGAACTTGAGTATATAGGCCCCTGTTCCTTCCCTTCACCACCTTCCACACACGGCCCGTCCCCATAGGCGATTTCATTGCAGTCCTGCACTATCAAGTGGAGCAGCTCCTGTTGGGGTTCTGAGGCCTAGAGCAAAAGATCAAGAAAAAGAAGCAGGAGCTCGGCTTCATCTCCTGAGCATTATCCTTCAAGAAGTGTATGTATGGCACAACATTTGCCGGCCACCCCCCACGCCAACACCACATTCAAGTCGAAAGAGAGCCAACGGACAAGGGGCAATGTAATGAGATGATGCGGAGTGCTCTGTGGACAGTGAAAGACTTCAACACAGAAGAATTTTCTCCTTCAATACTTACCAAGCCATTTGAGCCTTGCCTCCAAGAACCCATTGCCTTTGCTGAATCTACGGATACCGATGGCACCAACAGACAACAGTGGCTTCTTTTGTGTTACGTGCCAGCTATGATAGCTGTACTTTCCTTTGCTTTTGGCTACTCTGCTAGGAGCTTGATCGCTGCCGGAAGCGCCTTGGCAGCCTGGCCAGCGTCCGGCCCGCCTTCATGGACGAGTGCCTCCTGAACATCTTATCTATCTTGACTAGAGACTCGGGAAGACTAAAGACAAAGCATGAATAAATTCAATCTGCCGGAGCTACAAAGAGCTTGGTGGTTGCTTTTACTTCAAAAGGTTCATTGCTCTCAGCCTTCACAGGTACGAGCAGTTGGAACAAGAGCTCGAGCGCTTCTACGAGCAGCAGCTGGGGTCAAAATTCGGTGCAATGTTGCGGATGCAAAGTTGAAACTGCTAGCGACCCCTGTTACCTTTGACGGAATGCACAGATGACCGAGGTATGTGGGGCGCTTTCGGAATTTGGACTACCTGGAGCACGTCGCGAGGCTTTACCTAGCCCAACGTTGCCGTGACATAACAACCTTGCTCAGTGTCGATTCTTCCAAGGAAATTGACGAGCTCAACAAGGAAGAGCAAGATCGTATGGAAGAGAATGACCGCGCACTCAAACGTTTCTTGACATATATTTTTTGTCTTTATTTGGAGAAGCTGGATAGGAGCTGGGAGAGCCTGAGATGGTTTCGCTGGTGTTGTGAGACTTTGATGAACCTGTGTAGAATGTAGAACGTAGAATTGCGTAGAGACATAGTGATCTCGCTTTAATGTAACCACGAAGATTCCAAAAAGAGCAAGGCATGCAGAAGCGTCTGAGAGATGAAGAGTGGCGGCTCTTACGGGGTGAAGAGGCGGGGCAGTGATATCCACTTTATCCGCAGGTTCTATTTCGATCTTTATTCGTAGAAATGTAACATTATTTTGGTGTTAAGTTAAAAATTAATAACTATAGCTTTATATGATAGATCGGAGGCCATTGCTAGTAGGTTTGAGGCCATTGCTAGTAGGATTCAATAGATGAACTTTCTAGTCAGTATAACATACTGGGGGGGTTTGGCCGTGAGGACAGATTAAGTAGATGTAAGTCGCTAGTAGTAAGGGGCCCAAGGGATAAGTAGCTTAATAAGTAGCTACTGGGCTAGGAAGCGCCCTTTGTTCAACACGTTGCAGCATGAATGGAGCATGCATAACTTCGTCACATTCGCTCATTCCACTCTTTGCATCATGCTTACTCCCCTCAAACAGGAGTTGTCCAGCCTTGCTCGTAGAACATTCTGTTCTCCTACGAAAACGACACTAAGGGCAGATTCCCTTCACCCGGACAGGATGAGAAAGGCAAGCCACGCAAGCCGAAGAAAATCCATGGACAGAAGAGGCAGGATCTGCATAAAACTCTGTGCATGCACCAGTGGACGCTACAATTGGACGGCAGAGCTGTTAGTTGTGATTAGATTTCACCCAGGTATTGAGCGAATACTAATTGTTACTGACTGCTTACGGAGTTGTGTTATTGTCAATGTCAAACGCCTGGCAATCTGGGTAAGCAAAGCTTGAAGTGCGTGATGGACACAACACATGAAGTCCAATTCCTCCTTTTCACAGGGTGCCAAGATGTTGTGCACCCAGACCCACCCATGGTGAACAAAGGTAACACATGGCATCTCTCAGCATCCCTCAGAGACGCTGACATTCGTTGCCATATGGCCATTGAGGTGGATGCCACCATCTGCTGTGGATGCTGTGGATGGCTCGATGGAGGCGGGCGACGATGAGGAGCATGAGGGAAGCCTGTGGGCTGAAGTTGCAGAGAAGACTGTTTATTCTGGGAGAGTTTATTCTGGGTTTGAGCCTTTTTCGTAGAAGGGGTGCTGTTCTTTGAGTTAGTGTCTCAAGTCTCAAGTGGTGATGCAAGATCTTTTTGGTCTGGGATTGCTTGATCCTGACACGCTGGCTTGCTGGCTTGCATCATTGAGTCATACCTGGTTGTTTGACATCTCACCGAGCAACACGCTTGTCATCAGGAGTCCTCTCCAGAGTCTGGTAGCAGTGATCCGCCAATCAGCGTGGGTCACCTTGCCTTCAGAGCTTGCTGGAAGCTGGGTAGGACATAGATACGTGGAGAACATGCGCACTGTCAACTAGGCACATTGTGTCCAAACTAGGGTGGCTGAATGTCACTTAGGGCTGATGGGGCTTGGTCCCACAGTTAAACCTTGTATGCTGCTGATATGTGTTTATTTTTTCCTGGTCAAGAGGGACATCCAGGTTCTTTACTTTTCATGGTAGCCTCAATCTTTTTTGCTTGTAGGTTTCATGGTAGGCTAACTGGTTGTGGGTAGGCCTTGCTGGGTTGACCTCGGCATCCTGAGAATTGCAGTTCTGCTTTGCATGGCCTTCAACCCCTGACAACTCAAGGTTGCCATTTATGAAAGATACCAATGGATACCAACAAGTAATTTGTGCCTGCTTTTTTGCATGTTGATGCCATGACCTTCGTGCAATCTCATTGCTGGTGACTCTGGTTTTGCCTACTTTGTTCTCGTGTGTTCTCCGAGGCTCTGAAGATAGTGGCCCCTTGGCTGGTGGAGCGGCCCTAGGTGGACTAGGTGACCGCGAGCGCAGCTTGGCCAAGAACTTGCTTGATCTGCAAGTCAGTAGTTGCTCACTCCTAAGTTAAGTTTCCGCCCAAGACCTATAGACCAATGTATGGTGCAAGGGCTTCCAAGCTTAGTAGTACGCTATATTGTTATACGTCTTTACAGCTAGCTAGTTCATGCTGGTTCTTCTTACTTCTATCTATTACATCTATCCAGAAAAGAACGCCAAACATTTGAGAGAAAGACGAGCAGCTTCATCCAAAGTTTGGCTCTTTCAGGTGCTGTGTCTCCTCCGGAGGGATCCGTGGCGATTGGCGGTGGCAACAGTGTGTCCTTTGGCACCACGACGATCCGTTTCTAGCTTTGTGTCAAAGCCATCACTGGGAGACTGACATTAACGAAGGGTGCAACCCCGGGGTCAAGGTGGTAGATTTAATCACCACCCAGAATCGACATGTCAAGATGGCCCGTCAGCCGATCGCTGTGGAAATCTGGAACCAGCTCAACTTTAGGCATACCTGAAGCTTTCCTGCGAGAGTGTTTGTAGAAGACTTGGTCAGGATTGAATTTGACAATCGAAGGCGGAATGGCTGGGCAGGACTCTGCATAAATAATGCTTCAGGCATAAGATCCAACATGACCAACGTTTTCTAGCCCCCTAAAATCAGAAGGGAAGAAGGTGCTGATGGCCACAACTGGTGCATGCTGGGTTTGAATGAGTCTGCTGTATCAAGTCAATTGCTGCAAGGTGCAGTAGCTTTGCAGACACTCAACCATGTCATGGGGTTGTGCAGAACCGACATCCGAGATTGAATCCGTACTCTCAAGGTCTGAAGATGACATCCTGGACGAGTCTGAGGAAGACGAACTTTCGGACCAGGCTGGGCCGCAAAGGAGCATATGCCCAGGTGCTAGCTGCGACACTGGGTCCAACAGCTTCCGATGTTAAGCCCCACTCTGGTAACGCTGTTAGCATAAGAAGCTGCAAGTAGTTCCCGGGCAAGCCGGCGGCGGAAGTTTCCTATAAGAACAAACTGACCTATGGGAGTGTCCCGGTTCTTTCCACCATGCGCGTCCCTCGTGTCCCTCAGTCAGACGCAGTGATGAGTGATGAGTGAAGCATAAAGCTAACTGGAGCGAGACGTTAACTATGATGTGATAGCTTGTCTAGACACGAAGCTAATTAGCTCAAATTTGTCAACCTCTCAAAACACGTTTTTGAGGTCTCCAGAAAGTAATCGAAATGACCACTTTTGAGTAAGCAAAGTAGCTAAAATTTGTCAACCTCTCAAGAGAGCCGGGTGGTCGGGAGACATGACTCAGCTGTAGGGGCGCCAGAGCAGCCGCGAGAGATGACTCAGCCGCGAAAGATGACTCATCCGCGTACTAAAGTTGTACTACCAAGTCGCCAGTTCTCATCTTCCAGCTCCCCAGATACTCCGCGTACTA